GGGGGGGGGGGGGGGGGGGGGGGTAAGGAAGGAATTGGTAAAGGGCCCCAAAAACTATTATATTGTATAATGTCGAATATACTAATTATCTGATTCGAGCATCACATATTGCACACAGGTATTGATATTCAACTCTGTACCCCACATATAGATACAATCAACTATGTTACCATAAAAAATAAAATGAAAAATAAATAAAATATAAATAAATAAATCAACCAATACAGAAATAAGAACCAACTTTGTACAAAGCCCTGAGTGATTCTCTGTTCCACACCTGTGTTACAGATGTTATGTGATCAGCTCTCTTCTTTGTTGATGGGTCACATGCTCTGAGGGCTCTGTGAACTGGTGGCGGACTTCTCAGCCCCTAGCTGGCCCTGCCATTTCTTGATTAAGTGCTTTTCTAGAGTTTCCATGGGTGGATATCCAATAGCAATACCCTTTTCACTTGTCTACAGAGTAACAAAGATTGCCACCACAAAACCCCCCAAAAGAGTTTTTACACATACTGAAATGGACATGCTCTCATAGCTTATTCATAAAATACATTCCCCACCAACACACACAATCGTGCTATTAATCTATAATGCCTCATTTTCAAACCAAACATCAAAATCCAGTTTGAGTTGCATTATTTCCTGAACCTGATTCTGCATATCTCTGGAATCTTTTGAAAAATTCAACACCTTCCTCAAGGATCAAAAGTTCCCACCAAATTCAGAAGACTATTCTGTAAGCTTCAAAGGCAATTACAAAAGAATAGCTCTACAAAGGTCTCTGAGTGGCAGTATTATGGGATGGATTGAGTGGGCAGTCATGGAGAGTGACTGCTTAAAGGGGACAATGCTTATCTCAACGTGAGCTGGACAAGGTCATCTTTTTATAATCAGTCCTTGCTTTTTTACTTTATCCTTTAATGCAGTGTTTTTCTTTCTACAAGTTGAGAAAGTCTGTTCCATTTCATTCCACCTCAAGTTGAATAACTAGCTACTTACTGCAAGCTTTTGTACTATTCTTTGGGAAATATTTCCCAGTAATGTGAAACACAAACTCAACAGTTAGTCTTTGCAGAGACCAAAACAGTTTCTCACTCCTCTTACTTTGGAAATTCCACCTAAATGAAAGTATGTCATTATGGAAATCTTACAATTATCTTATTCAAAAAGAGGGAGTGCCAAGAAAGTAGTTCTATTAGGAATCCATATATCTCCCAGAGTTAGAGAAAAGAAAAGATTAAGAACTTAGCCAAGCATTACCAAAATTAGCAGCAGGAGTTTTCAGAGGCCGAAGGACTTGTCTTAAAATTAAAAACTATCCACATATGCTCTCTTCTCCCATTTTAGTAATAAAACATTGAGTCCTGTTGCCAACTCTCCCAGAGCTGTAGTTAGAAACTCTGAGCATTTCCTATGTTTTGATGAGAAAGATATTCCCGAATTCAGAAAAGGTTTGTGTAATGTGCACTGAATCTAGAATACTATATCATGGCAAATAGCTGTAGAACTTTAATAGCAATTATGGACAATAATCTTCAAGGTTAACCTTAATCTTTCTTTTGACCATGCCTTTCTCACAAATCTTATAATTCTCTTCTGTAATTAGTAGAACTTTTACCCCATGGTTTCTATAACATGAAACAGTGCTCAGGTCGGCTCCAGAGCCCAATCCATAGTCCTGGATGTGGTTGTGGATGGTTCTGAGTTTCAATGAACGTTTAAGTTGGCCTTTGGTTTCCTTTTGTAACTTAGACCCAATTCATTTTTCTTTGCAGCCTTAGATTTTTTTCTTTTATTTGGTGGACATGAAGAAAGGGGTAGGGGGGTTGAACTACAGAGGCTGTTATGAAAATGAAGTAAATGTGTAAGTTTGTCCTCACTTTTAAGGGACTATTCTCACTGTCCCATCAATCAGTACAGAGAATAGAAAGATTTTGTTTCTTAATATTTGAAATGCTCCTAAGGAAGCTCCAAGTATAGAAAAAGTAACACACAGTCAAGAATAACTAATAAGCCTCTGATTACTCTGACAGTTTCTGTAAAGGAGCAGAGTGAAGCTGGACTACCCATGGACCCCTTTGCCTCCTGAGGCCTTACCTTTCTTAGGTTACACACAAGGTCTCTTGTCCCTTTTAGCTTTACGTCCTTTCCCTGGAGCCAAACCTCTCACATTCAATATTTTGAGCCAATGTGGAGTTCCACGGATTTTTTTTCCCACATCCTCAACTGGTCCCTTTTATGACCAGTGGCTCATATAGCAAGATGAGTGGTGACGTCTTCAGGCAGGCTGGTGGCCCTTGATAGTGCAACTTGGGCTCCCAGAGGAAAGTAAACCTAATTGGCATGCGTGGGTACCAAACCCCAGGCCCTGGGCTCATTAGCACCTGGTTGAAACAGTTGAGCTGCAGAGCAGGTAATAACTTGCCTGAGAATATTCATAATTTTATTAGAAACAAATGGCTGGTCTGGAAGCTGGGGAATCTGAATTGCCAGAGAATCTCGGGAAGAGTAATAAGCTCTAGTCTGGATGAAAAGTGTTTCCTCATGGGTAAAGAGTGCTGTTTGGGAACCAAGAGGTTTTTTTTAAATTATAGCTACTCATTCTTTCTTTAGTCTTAGTTAATTTGAGCAGAAGCCACAACAAGCAAACCACACTAAATTTGGAACTGGCAGAAACCCAAATGAACTCCTCTTCCCAAGTTGCCCACACTACTACCATTTGCAATTGTAGGTTTGTAATGCGTAATTGCATAATCCAGAAACTGGCTTTGATTTGTGTAATGAGGCATTGCCAAAGTAAGCAAAGTAAGAATTAAAATTCCACATTCCCTGAGTCCCCTATTCAGTTGCTACTCTAGTAATACATGCCTGGAGATAATAGATTTAATTCTCAACATTAGTTAAAACATAGCTGAGTGATCATATCAGTGTACAAGTTAAGCTGATATAACAAGAAGACCCTAAACTGCAGTAGCTCAAAAGAAAAACAAAGTGGAAGTTAACTTCTCTCTCAGGGGACAGCTATGGTGCTCGAATTCTGCATGCTCAGAATACTTGGAGGGCTTGTGAAAGCAGGTTGCTGGGCTCCACCCTCAAATTAGGTCTGGGGTTGACTCGGGGAATTTTCCCTTCTAACAAGCTCCCAAGTGATGCTTAGGGTTTGTTGGGGATGGATTTACTTCTAATATTAGACGTCAGCACCACAACTGTTTGCTTAATTCTTTCTAATCCTTTTTCAGTTGGTAGGCTCTCTGCTTCAGGTTCTCAAAGTGAAGGAAGGGACCCCCAGCTGAATGGACAATGACAACGACGGCCTCTCTCGAAGGAGCAAAACAAAATCCTTAAGAGACTGTTTCTGCAAGCATCGATTCTCCTGTATCATCAACAAGATTTCCTTTGTGCAAAATACTTACCTATTCTTGTATCTTTCAACCTTAACTAAATTCATGATTTTCAAGCAGCATCTTCTGGTTTGAACTTGTTTGCTGTGAACAAATGACCAAAAAGAGTCTTCCAGTTAATGCTTTTTACATCTAGGCTATTTGTTGATTAGATTCAAGGCCCCAATCTATTACCATTCACAATAAAAGCTTAAACACATTGTCCAAAGGGCAGGTTGTTTTGCTTATTTCAATCCCAAATGAGAGAATAGTGTGGCAGAGATTAACAAACAGCTTGACAATGTACTTGGGTGCTCCCTGATTAACTCAGGCTGAATTTTTAGTTCTCACCTCTGAAGGCCACTTACTGAATTCCTGTAGTGAGTTACAGCCTTTCTAGAAGCTGCCACAAGGAGCTACCATCTGATGGGCCAGATTGAAGATGAAGCCTAGCCCTATTCATCACCTAATAATTCCATTATTTTCAGTCCTTACCATGACCAGGTATTTTGCTGATGTTATTGATATACTCTTCATAATAGTAAGCTGAGAATTATTATTCCCATTTAATAGATGAGGAAACAGAGGATAAGAGAGGTCAGGTGACTTGTCCAAGGTCACATAGTAGATGAAACTGGGATCTAAACATCCACGGTCACTAGATTTTCTGCATTATCTCATTTTAACTCCCACCCCCTTCAGTATATTTAAGCCTAGCAAGTAGAACTGTTTCTTCAAAATTTCATTGCCAGTCTGGAAGTAGAAATAGTTCCCAGGGCCAGATTTAGTCAGCTCCACGGCAAAAGGATAGGATGAGTTCAAGAGACTTTCTTCCATTTTCAGAGAATGTGGCCTGGAAGTTTGTTAACCAGCTCCATTTTTATCATGACATTTGCACATTAACAGATTTTGAAGCTCCTTGCCATATGTTTAGATTTTCTTCATTTAGGAAAATCACACTCGAAACCTTAGAGATTTATCTTGCTTGTCAAAGAACCACATAAGAGGTTATGTGTTCTTTCTATTTTCTTTTAGAACTATGTTGATTCACAACTTGTACATAGCCAGACCCAGGGAAATATGTCAAATGTATTTTCCGTGTCCTACCACCTTCCTCTTAAGGGCTCCTGTTCTCCATCTTAGGACCCTCTTGAGCCTCTTTCCAAAGAACTCAATCCTGACTGTGTCAACTGAAGCCTTTGAGCAGCTAGTGATGAAGGGGTTAACTCTCTCAGAAGGATTTGCCCTCCAGTAGGACACTCATAAAGAAGAAAAAAATCTTCCAGACTCAGGGGAAGCTTTCTGTAATGGTGGCATTACTTTCTGTAATGGGCAGGGAAAAAATGTTCCTAGTTGTAGGAAACCACTTCTAGGATAAACCAGACAGACTGACCCTTGTTTGGTTGTCTTCCTAGAGCAGACATACACGATCCTGTGATTTAGCAGCAATCACTTTTTCTCCGTGGGTTCTGACTGAGAGGTAGGAACAGCTCACTCTGATCTCCTGACCCATGGCTCCTCCATACCAAGCCCAGATCAAGATTAGAATCTCTATTTGAGAGACATAGTCTTCCCCAAAAGGAGAGCTTTCTTAAATTTGTTTGCAAGTGGAGTTACATCACATGTCTCTCTGTGCATCAGTGGATATTAGGCAGGGAAGACCAAAGAAACGTGCTCAAGACCAAACTTGCAGTTCCAATGCCTGAAGCCATGCCTCTAATCTAGTTGATGAGATGACTACCCCTAAATGCCCTCTGCAGAACTGCCCAAGTCTGCACCCTCTTCCACTGCCTCTGCCTCTGCCACCAACTGTGCCTGGTGGCATGATGCCTACGAAAGCCTGTCACCAGAAAGCCTCTTCTACCTGTAGCCCACTCCCATAGCAGAGGCTTGAGTGTGTCTGTTTGGTGGAACCTAGATCACATGCCTGAAGCTACAAGGGCAGCTGGGAAATGTAGTTTTTAGGATTCTCCTTTGGGAATGTGGGACTAAAATTGTGAGACCCTATCAAAAAAGAGAACGTGCTCAAAATATGTGGTCAAGCACAAATAACTGATGTCCCCTCCTCCTTTTGCCCATAAAGGAATTTCTCCTTTGGGCCGGCCTGTGGCTCACTCGGGAGAGTGTGGTGCTGATAACACCAAAGCCACGGGTTCAGATCCCATATAGGGATGGCCGGTTTGCTCACTGGGTGAGCGTGGTGCTGACAACACCAAGTCAAGGGTTAAGATCCCCTTACCGGTCATCTTTTTAAAAAAAAAAAAGAAAAAGGAATTTCTCCTTTGATTTCTTCCCATTCCTACTCTGGAGAACAGTTAGCATCCAGCCTGGGACTCTGGAAAAGCAGGAGCCGAGTGATTGTTTTTACAGCACACAGGCCAGGTGAGTGCATACAGGAAGAAGAGAAGATTGCTTGTAAGAGGTGACGATATTCAGAAATCCTTGCAGCAAAGAAGGATACTCAGGAGGAAGAATCCAGAAGAAAAGAAAGGAATAGTAACCTTCGATTTTGTTCTTCTAAAAACCGTCCTTTTTTAAAAGTGCTACAGGGTGGATTGCTTTGGGTAATTTGGCAGACTGCTCATGATCAGTAGTTCAGTAGCACATTAAACAGACATTTCAAGCAGCGTGGTATAATTTCTAGCCTCAGAATGTCTACCTCTCAGTTCCTACCAGGGGTATTTGATCATTGCACAGAATTTTAACCCAGTGGGGATGTATGAGGCGTTATCTAAGTAGGATGTGAGAGTTGCATTATTTACTTCCTCTGCTACAGCCTGCTTTAATCTGACAATGTGAAGTAACAATGATGAACTGTTATTGCCATTCCCAAAGCAAAAGAACGGTGCTCACCATGTGCCCAGAAAAGGCTACGAGTCTCACCTCTTGGGGCTTTGTGTCTTCCAATTAATCACCTCAAATGAGACCCAGATAAAACACAGAAACATCTATTTCCCTCCTGCCTTTCCTTCCACTCTGTTTGGTCCACATATGTGACATAACATATGGCTTGACAGACAGAAGAGGTGGATGGTTACTGTGCGTGGATTGAGAGGGCTACCTGAACAATATCTAAGGCTGTCAGTTGTATCTATGTTGATTAGTGATTGCATTTGGATACATGTGACAAAACCAAACTGAACCAAATATCCATGGCTTAAAAAGGATACAGGTTTAACTTTCTCTCATATCCTAAGAAGTCTGGAGGCTAACGGTGCAGGTCAGTGCAGTGACCTAAGGATTCAGAGCCAAGATCTTTGTGATTTTTCTTAAATTTCACTTCATGAGCAGTAACAATATGGCTGCTGCAGCACCAGCAAACACACCCCAGCTTCCCTCAGGAAAAAGAAAGAGAAACAGGAAAGGGTGGGGTCTATATCATGAAAGCAAGGCTTTCTCAGAAATCCTCAGCCTTTGTGTTTTGGTCAGAACTGTGTCACATGATCACTTCTAGCAGTGAAGGAAACTGAGAAATGTCATTTTCCACCTGGGGACATTGCAACCACATCACCCTACCCCCCTAAACAAGACACGTTTCTTTTAATAAGAGAAAAAAGAGGATATATGTTGGGTAGGAAATTAGCAGTTTGCCACATCAGCTATTACAAAATTGAATCTTGGGACAGAATCAAGCTAGAAATAGTAGACTTGAGCCTGATGTGACTGGAAGACTCCTGGACAATAGGACTCCATGTTTAATGTGAAGTGGTCTTGCCCCTTGTCTCATTCTGAATGTTGAGTGTCAGAAAATCATGGTTTACAGACAGTATGCTTTCTTCATGGCCTCACCTAACCTCCGTCTCTGAAAACAAGAGACTGTAACAGAGATCATGTTTTATAGACTGAATGTCATCTTTAATTTCTAAAATTAAACCCAAGATGTGATACTTTTTAAGTATTTATTTACATGGCAAAAACCTACTTCATGCTGTACCACACGTATCTGTGCACATGGATGCATGTATTCATGTACATACATGCGTGAGGGATATTACCACCCCTCCATCCACAATTCTTCAGGAACAAGGGGTCTCGGTAAACAAACTGGACCCAGGTTAGCAAGCTGGACTCTGGTGCAAGGGAAGCCATGGCCTCTCTTTTGTTTTCTCTGTGACTGGACTCATTACACTAATTAACAGTTGATGAATGAATGATTCCACATGACTCTGGATGAGAAAAAATGACAAGTTTTTGAGACCTTTAGAAATGAACATTGCGGGCCGGCCTGTGGCTCACTCGGTAGAGTGTGGTGCTGGTAACACCAAGGCCACGGGTTCGGATCCCATATAGGGATGGCCGGTTCGCTCACTGGGTGAGCGTGGTGCTGACAACACCAAGTCAAGGGTTAAGATCCCCTTACCGGTCATCTTTAAAAATAAAAAAAAAAAGAAATGAACATTGCATCAGTTAACATATCTTTGGCTGTTAGTAAAAAAAAAACCCTCAATTCAAATTGGCATAAAAGATAAAAAGATTTATAATCTCATATACGAGAATTCCAGAGGAAGGAATGGTGTAGTTCAATTTAATTCAAATATAACTTCAGAGATGAGGGTCTTTCTGTCTTCCCACTCTGCCACCAGCACGTCACATTTGTCCTTAAACTGACTTCTCTCATGATCACAAGATGGCAGCTGGAGTTCCAGATGTCACATCCAGACATGACAACATTCAGAGGAAGAGGGACCATCTCCTTTTAGGCTTTGCCTTGTTAATAGTGATAAATCCTTTCCCAGAGGCCTGTACATTCTCACACCTCAGTGACCAGCTGGGTTACATGTTTGCCCTAAACCCATCCCTCATGAGGGGAATCAGACATGTGGGAGGAGGGGCAAGTACTTAAACACAGTCAAGACTCCGTAAGGAAGGAGAGTGGCATTGATTTGAAGTGACACCCAGCAGCATCTGCTACAAGCAGGAACTTCATTTCTTGTGGCCACACATAACCCCAGTTCTATCAATACGGCAATTTAAAAATTAGTCACTGCTGTTAAGTGGAAATATTCTCTGTTTTATTCCTTTCTCAGATGCTGAAGTTCTTTTGGATAGTGCTATGGGTTAAATGCATCCCCGAGAAGTTCATGTATTGGAAACTTGACCCCCATTGTAACACTGTTAAGAGGGTGGGAAATCCAACTTTGGTACTTGAAAGGTGGGGCCTTTGAGAGGAGGTTGGATGTGAGGACTGTGTCCTCGTGAATGGATTAATTAATTCATGAGGTAG